TTCAAACACTAGTTCCCATATGATCACTGAAGTTAAGCCATGTAAAGCCTGATCTGTACCTAGATGGGTGACTTTGGGAATACCAGGTGCTGTAAGCTTAGATGTGTAGGTAGTGGAATTAGAATTTTTTTTTTTAATCATATCACTCCATGCAAGGCAGTAAACCCACTAAAACAAAAGGGATTAATGATGGCAAAAAAAAAGAGAAGCATTATTAAAGAGCAAGAACAGTAGAAGAGTAATCAAGACAGTTTAATTGAAGAATCAATTTTCAATTCCAGTCGAGTTTGTTATATTCAATTATGCTCAAATACCCTTGAAAAGGTATGAATCAACCTCTTCTACCAGCTATGGATTAAATAGTAAGACTTGTATAAATAAATCATTCTCTACCCAACCCCATTAAAAAATTCTTAAAATTTAAAAATATTTTGGCATTAGAAAAAACCCTGCAAAGTGTTGATAAGCCATAGAAAACTAATAAACCAACAAACGAATAATACTATTTTAATATTTTGCATTTTATTTTCATTTTATATTAGCAGAACAGGGAAGGGATAGTAAGGGGATAAATATTCCTTACATCTACAAATGATAGGAAGTTAAGGAGAGCCATGACTGCTTATTGTCCGGTTCACACTCCTCTCTGGTCTTTTGAACAGGAGTAGAGGTTTATCCCTTGTTTCCTGTTTAGGATTGAATTTTCAGTTCCTTCTAAAGTCTACTTCAGCTCTATACTTCTAATGCTTGCTCTTTCTTACACTAATACAACTTCACTCTGTAAACCTCTCCCTTGAGTGGTTCTTTGGACTTGTATTGGGTGAACATTAGTTTAAAAAAAAATAAATTACTCTTAACTTTTTCTCTTTTGTCTTTCAGGTGTTGGCATTGTCATGCGGAAAATGGCAAATGCTGCTACTCCAGTCCAGGAAATAAAAATTGATGGTGACACATGGAATGTAAAAACCAGCACCACATTTAAAACTACAGATATTCATTTTAAGATTGATGAGGAGTTTGATGAAACGACTGGAGATGGCAGGAAAGTAAAGGTAAGCCCAACACAAATTGTTTTACACTGCACATTGGGATCACACAATAGAGCCGTATATACATCTGTGGTTTCTGAACAACCTGATCTCTTCTCAGATCAATTATGGAACTGTATTAGTGTTATTTGCACTTAAGAGGAAGATTGAGATAAAAATTTCCCCTATTTAATTAGAAAATAGTAGTTTAGTTCTAGAAACTTTGGCCAGCAATGGAGAGCCAAAAATTTTCATTTAACCTAAATTGGTTATAGGCACAAATTTGGGGTCTTTTTTTCTAGGGGTTTTCAGTGCCAAAAATAATTCAGCACTCCTGAAAACATAAGAATTTATGTGAATGGTGGTATACCCATTATCGTCCGTAGGTATGCTACAACATGTATATATAATCTTTCCTTTATATATCTTTCTCAGTTTTTATTCAACTTTTACAATTAAAACATTCAGTAAAGCAAAAGTTACATCACTTGATCTCATGTTCTGCTAGTTTTAGAGTTGTTTTTCTTTTTTTCTATTTTTAATATTTTAATATGGCGTACTGTAGGAATGCCAATTCTCAGTTGTAACAACTTTTCTGAAGTTAAATTGCACTAAAATATTACTATGGACCCTGGTTGAGAACTGACGCCAAAATGATCAATTTAATATATGAAATTAAGTGGGTATATTTTAATTATCTTTCTGAGAATGATACTCTTATATTTTACATATTTAAATTTTTTTAATAGTTAGGAATTATACCAGAAAAGGAAAAAAAAAAAAAAAAATCTTTGGCATTTTTTGTTCACTTTATTTGAAGATGTGGATTTAAACACCCCCCCCAAATTCTGTATTTGAAGGCATACAAGACGCACCCCAATTTCAAATCAAGAAAAAATTAGTAATTAGTAAAATTATTAGTAAATGGTACAACCAAGGCTATATTTATGGGGTATTATTTTGGTTAAACAAGCCATGATTACAATTAAATGAAAAGTAATAGGAAAAAAGAACACGAGCCTATAAAATCTTTATTATATCCTTTATATGATCTGTAGAACCTGCGTCTTGTAAACGTCTTATTGAAATAATAAGGATATAAAAATTTTGATTGTATGCAACTAGAAGTTATCACAAGAAAAATATTAATGAAACAAATATTTTACAAATATATAATTTGAATTATTGCATATAGTTTTAGTGAAACAAAGTACTAATATTAAACGTGATGAAATTAATATAATGAATGTTATCAATGATAACACTTAATCTGCATAATAGCTTTTTAAATAATGACAATAAGTATATGAAGGTTACTCTAAAGTCTAAGCTAATAGGAGTTGCCAGGTAGCTAATTTCATCTATCGAGAATTTTAAACCTACATATGGCATACAAGGCATAAGTGAATTTTAAAAGATATTAGTAAAAAACGTGTGCCTTATATGCTGGCAAATACAGTAATTTAATGAAATTTGTGTTGTGTGACCACAAAATCCACCTATATATAGGTCATTTTTGAAAAAGTCAAACCTGTTATAATATTCATTTCAACAAAATTCCGACTTTCCCAGAAAAAAGAAAGCAGCAAAAGCAACTATCTAGAACTGATTTTCTAAACATAAATAAAACATGTGTGAGTTTTGAGTTTAACTTCAAATGATCATAACTTGACAGAAATATAATCAACTAGCTGAGGTACCTGGCATTGCCCAAGTGTACATGGTTGCAACTGTATAACTGCACACCACTGTCTAGAAATGTTTGCCTGCATCCCAGTTTGGATACTAAGCTTTTTTATAGTATGTCCTTTGCAAGTGTTTGATTGTTTTTAATAATTATGAAGTCCACGATCTTTTCAAACATGACCAGAGGTAGAAAACTATCATTCCCTGACATCATCCCAAG